TATCAGATTTAAGCTGCCATCTTCAGCACCAGCATCCCATATCGGCACCAGTTTAAGTACCCAGCTGCTCCACTTCCAATACAGTTCCCTGCTAATGAGACTGGGTCAGCAGTGGAAAATGGCCCAAGTACCTAGGCCCCTGTACCCACATGAGAGATCCAGATGAAGATTGCAGCTCCTGGCTTTGGCCTGCCCCAGCCCAGCCATTGTGGATAATTCAGGAGTGAACCAGCAAACAGATGTGTCTTTCTGTATCCCTGCCTATCTGTCTCTCTCTCTCTCTCTGGGTAACTCTACCTCTCAAATAAATAAAATAAATCTTGTTAATAAAATCAATTGCCTAGGCCGGCGCCGTGACTCACTTGGCTAATCCTCCACCTGCAGCGCCAGCACTCCGGGTTCTAGTCCCTGTTGGGGCGCCGGATTGTGCTGGGTGGGGCTGGGCTGGGGAAGGCGGCCAGGGCTGTTTCCATCTTCGTATTGTCTTTGGTGGCTCCTAGAGGCCAAGATGGGGAGCATCCACCACCACCATCACCACCACCCCCGGCCACAGTTTCACATCATCTGGAAACGATTCCAACACTCCAGGCCTGATTTGTCAATTTGGTGATTGTTTTTCAAAGAGCCAATTTAATCGATTTTCTCTTAGTTTTGATAAACCCATCTCGCTGGTTTCTGCTGTAGCTGTCGTATTTCCCCCGTGCTTGCTTTCGCTCTGGTTTGCCCTCCTTGCTCCAGGATCTTAAGGTGAGAGTATTTCTGGTCCAGATCTTTCCTCTTTTTAAATAGAGGCATGTAAGGACATGTTTCTTCTACGTACTGTTTTAGCCATGTTTCCTGTTTTGTATTTTCATTTTCATTCATCTCAAAGTATTGTATAATTTTTTGACCCATTGTGTTCTGATTTCACATATTTGTGAATTTCTCACATTGTTTTCATTACTGATTTCTTCTTTTAAAGATTTACATATTTATTTGAAAGTCAGAGAAACAGAGAGAAAGAAGGGGGGCGGGGAGAGAGAAAATCTCCCATCCACTGGTTCACTCCCCAAATGGCCACATGCCTGGGGCTGGGCCAGCAACCAGGAGCTTCTTCCAGGTCTCCCATGAGGTGCAGGGTCCAAGCACTTGGGCCTTTCCCACTGCTTTCCCGGGTGCATTAGTAGGGAGCTGGATGGGCACTGGAGCAGCCGGGACTCCAGCCAGCACCCATATGGGACAGCAGCGCTGTGGGCAGAGGCGTCACCTGCTGCGCCTCAGTGCCGGCCCCTCATTACTGAGTTCTGATTTCATTCCATTGTGTAAAGATTTTTTTTTTCTGATTTCATTCCATTGTGTGAAGATAACATATTTTGTGTAATTTCTGTCCATTTTAAATATGTTGGTGGTGTTTTATGGTGCTGTGTTCCTCAGGGACCTTTTAAGCCGCGGTGGCCTACGGTGGCCCACAGTGTTCAAGTCTTCTGTGTCCGTGTTGACCTTGCCCGGCTCTTCTGTTCCGGGAAGCGAGGTATGAGGGCCAGCACCAGTGAAAGTGCTTCCCTTGGTCAGGCCGTCGGGGGCCTGGTGCTGCGTGCACAGGCGTCTCCTCGGGGCTTCCTGTCCCGGCGCTGCCTCCGTCAGCTCACAGACTTGCGGTTCCTTTGCTTCTAGTGGTGAATCGGCTCTGACTCTGTCCCTTGTACTTGAAGAGTTTTCCTCTTGATTCTTTCAAGATTTTCCTTGTCTCTTTCGGTATTTTCACTCTGCTGTGTCTGGGTGGTGTCTCTTCACATTCATCCTATATGGAACTCATGGGGCTTTTCACCACATGTCGGGAATTTTCAGCCATTATTTCTTAAAAATCTTTTAAAGATTTATTTTATTTATTTGAAAGACAGAGTTACAGAGAGAGGTAGAGGCAGACAGAGAGAGAGGTCTTCCATCTGCTGGTTCACTCCCCAATCGGCTGCAACACCTGGTGCTGTGCCGATCTGAAGCCAGGAGCCAGGAGCTTCTTCCAGGTCTCCCACGCAGGTACAGGGGCCCAAGGACTTGGGCCATCCTCTACTGCTTTCCCAGGCCACAGCAGAGAGATGGATTGGGAGAGGAGCAGCCAGGACTAGAACCAGAGCCCATATGGGATGCCAGGGCTTTAACCCGCTGTGCCACAGCATCAGCCCCTCAAATATTTTTAATCTCTTTCCTTTCTCTCCTCTCATTCTTACACTCTCACACACACACTGGTGGGTTAGACGGCGTTCCGGATTTCTCTGAGGCTCTAATGATTTTTCCTCACTCCTTTTTCTACTCTCCGAATCCCGTAATCTCTATTCATCTGCCTTCAAGTTCAGTGATCCACATTCTGCCAGCTTGGCCGTGTTGTTGAATCCTTCTAGTGAATTTTTCATGCCAGTTATTGTGCTTTTCAACTCTAGAATTTCTATTTGGTTCTTTTTTCTTTTTTGAAATTTCTATCTCCTTGTTGCCATTCTCTATGTGAAGAGACACTGTCTCTGCGATCCTGTGCTTCCTGAAGGACAGCTGCATTTTTTGAAGATATTGATAACGGCTGCTTTGAAGTCTCCTCCCGTTTCACCCGACATCTGGGCCTTGTCACAGGCAGTTTCTGTTGTCTGCCTTCTCACCCGTGTAGGTTACGCTTTCTGGTTTCTTTGTGTTTCTCATATTGCTGAAGACTTACCATTTTATATTCCATAACATTTCCCCTGGGAAGAGTCCCAGAGATGCGGCTGCAGAGCCGGGCACGGGGCACTCTTGTGGAAGGACAAGCCACCTCCCCCACCAGGCACCGTGCCCAGGAGAGGGCACTGCGTCTCCAGAGCTCACCTCGCCCAGTGGATTCTGCCCCTTGAGTCACCCGCAGGGAGGGCAGTGAGGCCTGGCAGCAAGGCCTGCCACACGTGGGCGGACCCTGCACACCTGGGAGACGCAGCTGGGTGGAGGAAGGGCGATTTCAGCTGCTTTTCCCTGGAATGGAATCTCCACAAGTAGAGTAAAGGGGCTGAGAGACGCGGGGAGACACGGTGCCCTGGACCAGGAGCTGGGGCACAGGAGCCCTGTGTCCTCCACGCTGCCTGGCAGCAGGTGCAGGGAAGTAGGTTTGGCTCAGGTGACACAGATCTGACCGAGATTTAGTAGGCTTTCTTGAGTTTTACTGAATTTTTTCTGTATTCCCTCAAGAACACTTGCAGATTAAAAAATGTTTCCCAAATTAATTTTTCACACTTGTTGTCTCACTAGGGTGTGAGTCTGGAGCAGCTCATGCCACTACTCCCCCAGGCCCCTCCCACTGACGTGCCATGCCGTGGGGCTCATTCTGGTGAGGAGACCCTGCGTCCTGGTGCAGGGCCAAGTTCACAACTGTGTAACACACTAGCAGGCATTAGGGTTTGGTTTCTGCAGCCCTCATGACGCATGGGGCGTATAAGCATGTTTATCTCTGCAAATACAATTTACTGGAGGATGAAGTGGAAGTAAATCAGGTGCCCTCACAACCCCCAGAGGGGAATGGAGGGGATGTGGGCAGCCCTCACTGCATGGCTGCCAGCCGTGCCGGGAACCCCTGTGCTTGCCACAGATGACCTGTGTCCCCGGCATGCCAGCTCTCCACGAGGGCCTCCACCTCCTGCCCTCACAGCCCTGGGCTGGGATCCCTGGCGCCCACCCCACAGCGCACCTGACTCCAGTGCAGGGTCCTTCCCTCCTGCCTGCCCCCTGGAGAAGACGGCGTCTCCTCCCTGTGATTTCCAACGTCACTTAAGGGACTCGGAGGATGACACAGGATCCAGTTTCCTCTGGACAGGGCCATGCAGTTTACAGCACACACGGGAATGGGTGATAAGTGTGGAGGCCGTCCCCAGAGTGAGGGGAGCCTGGCCAGTGGGACTGCCCGGGGCAGGGGATGATGTATGAGTGCACATGTGTGAGCATGTGTGTGGGAAGGCATGCATGTGTGTGCGTGTGACTGAGGGCATGTGTGTTTGTGTGTGTATGAAGGCATGTGTGTATGAGCATGAGTGCTCATGTCAGCATGTGTATATACATATGTGTCAGCATGTGTGTATGAGTGCATGTGTGTCAGCATGTGTGTATGCATGGGTATAAACAGGCGAGTGCAGGTCAGTGTGAACACGTGTGCATATGAAGGCATGCATGCATGTGAGCATGTGTGTGAGCACGTGCACGAATGCATGTATGTGTGTGAACATGTGTGAGCACGTGTGTATGAAGGCATGTATGTGAGCATGTGTGTGAGCACATGTGTATGAAGGCATGTATGTATGTGAGCATTGTGTGAGCACATGTGTATGACAGGGTGCGTGAGCATGTGAGTACATGTGTGTATGAAGGTGTGTGAACATGCAAGTGCATGTGTGTCAGCATGAACATGTGTGTGGGCATGTGTGTGTGAGCGTGTATGCATGTGTGCATGTCATGATCCATTCCAGTCTAGCCCAGAGGACGTCTTATTTGATCTGCACAATGTTGTAGGAGAAAATGAATTTGCCAGTATTTTTAAATTGGGTTCTTACATGAGCTTACTAAGCTCCTTTGAAAACTGCGGTGGCTTGGGCACCCTGAGTCCGTCTTCCTGATGGACAAGGTCGGCTGAAACTGCATGGTGTCTGGCGCCAACACAGCCCCTTCTAGGAGCTCCCTGCCCCAGAGTGCTGGGCAGCCTCCATCCGTCTTCCTGTCAGCTCTTCCTAATTAGTTTCGCCAGCCGCCCGTGGGCTGTGTCCTTCGTTCTGACGGCGCTGGAGTTGGCCATGAGCCTAAGTAGAGACAGCGTGCAGGCAGCGGGCGCACTCTGCCCCAGCTGTTAATTAGCGTTGCTGGAGGCGAGGCCACACCGCGGGGAGAGTCCCTGCGGGCTGCACCCTGGCCCGGCTCCAGCCCCAGCACTTGTGTTTCGGAGATGCAGGAACTGTGCTGTGGGGGGAACTCAGCAGCTCTCCTTGATGTGCGTTGGCTGCCGCACCCACACCCACCAGGGAGCAGGTGCGGAGGAAGGGCTGGGTGCTGTCGCCTCACGCCCACGGAGTCCTCGCAAGGGCTCCACCATGAGCGCTTGAGTTTGTCGTCAGCCCTGCAGACAGGCGTCCCCCAGCGCAGACTCGGAAGGTGCAGCCGTCAAAGTGCAGCGTCTTTCTCCATTGCAGCTGCACTTCGGCTGTGAGCTCCCACTCTCGCGGGGTCGGACTGCAGTGCGTGCGGGCCCCGCCTTCGTCTGGGCTGCACGTTTGCTTCAGGGAGGCGGGCATTCGGGCAGGCCAGGTAGTGCTGCCCACACCCCCGCTCTCCCACCTGCTCACCAGTCTCCATGACGCCTGCTGCCCGTCTCCGAGAAGGCAGACAGTGCACTGCCCTGGCTCAGCCTCTGCTGGACACGGGGTGATGTGGGTGCCAGCCTTCTGTACGGAGTCCTGTGAGAAACTGTGGGTTTGAAAGCAGATGGAGAACCCCCAGCTCCCTTTGGACCTTGGGCAATAATCCCACCAACCTCTGCCTTGGCCAGGATGGGGGAAGCAGGATACAGCCCCCGGCTCACAGCTGTGGCCTCCATGGCCACAGGGGAAATCCACCCCTCAGGGCACCTCCAGTGCCACCCAGGCCCACAGGACAGGTCCGTGAACGCTGGTGCCCCTTCCGGCTGTGAGGGCACCTCGGCTCCCCCAAGGCGTCAAGGGCTCACACACCAGGTCCTGTGGACCCAGCACAGGACAGTCACCCAGGCCTGCCCGGCACCCCTCCCCCATTCCAGCTCCCTCCTGCCTTCCCCTACAGCGCTCAGGTGGGGTTTCTCAACCGACACAGCCGACTCTCGGGCCGGGCACAGATCTCTGGCCTCTACTACTCCTGCCAATGGCACACGCCATTGTTATGACAGCAAAATCGCCTTCAGCCATTGCCACGCCTTCTGTGGGGCCAGCTGAGCCCTGGCTGGGAACTGCTGGTCCAGACAGACAGAGCTCAGCTTCACTCCGTTCCTGCAGGGCCACGTGCCCTGCCAGTGTTCCTTTCCAACAAGGATTCCGTACCTCCGGGTCTAGAATGTGTGTGCATGCGGGTGCACACGGGCATATCTGCTCCCTAGTTCCTCGGGGACAGTGGCTGTCCCCTGCCACCAGCACTTCACACACAGCTCTCCGCCCGTCTGTTCATCCGTCCATCTACCCGGTATGAAATGAATTCACATTTGAAAGGAAGTAATCCAGTGCTCTCTGGCCTTCCACAGGGTTTCCTCTTCTGATCTGTGTCATCTCCGTGTCGTCTGCCATGGACGGTTATGGGACGAGTAACAAGTGAGTGACGCGTGCGCTCTGGGCATCCCCGGCGATTGGCGGGCCTCCTGTGGGAAACGCTCACAGTGAGGGACCCCATGGCCTTGGATCTTTTGTTCTCGTTGCCCAGGGGTGAGGGTGCCGTGCAGGGCCGGCTTTCCCTAGGCGCTGGCAGAAGGAAAAGCCTGGGGTAGGGAGAGCGGGAGCCGACGCCAGCCTTGCTCTGGGCGTCCTCCACCCTCGGAGCCGGGAACCCCAGGAAGGGTGCAGCAGCCAGCACATGTTTCTTGTTAGAAGTCTTCACCGACGTGATACTCCCAGACACGGAGTCCTTGTCACCCACGGAGCCCCGATTTGTGACCCTAGCCTTTCCTCGGGGCAGGCAGCACAAGGGCAGCACCCGGTAGGCGAGTGGGTGTAGAAGGTGGGAGGAAGCACGGTCAGGCGTATCCCAGGAAGGCGGGCCGAAGTCTCCGCTGCTTGAGCGCCAGAAGACCGGAACTCGTAGCGCCCGAGGCCCGAGCCGCCACACTGAACGCGCAGCTGGTGGGGCCGCAGCTGGGCCGGCACCGTGGCTCGGGAACAGGCTTGCCCGCCCTCTCAAGGACAGGGGCTTTCGCTCCGCTGTCCTGGGGAAGCTGGGACCGTCGTCAGCCAGGCTGGGGCAGCCGGGAGGGGACAGGAGGGGGGCCCTCGCTGAGGGTGCTTCCCCGCGGACCTGTGCTGCCCCAGGACGACTGCGCAGCCCATCGTCTGCCCGGCTTCTGGAAGTCGGCCTTGATGAAGGCAGAGTGCTCCTCTCAGCAGCGATTCAGCGCTGTGCATTGTGTCGGAGCCAGCTGGAGCCTGCGGGTGCCGGCCGCCTGCGGGCCGCATCTCCGCCTCAGGAAGCCTCTGCCGAGCGCCAGGCCACCCAGCCGAGGTCGGGAAGCGCTCCTGGTTTCTGGGCAGGACAGGCTGGGGAGCCCCTCACCCACTCCTCCACGCAGCCGTGCCCTCTCGAGGGGGCTGTGGCAGCTTTGCAGGGACCGTTCAGACCCCTGGGGCGCTCGCCCTCCCCACGGGGCCTCTGCACTCGGGAGGCCGCTCCTCGGCCTGCCCTGGGCACCACAGGTGCAGGAGCCTCCTGAGGCGCTGGCGCCTGTCTGGGGCGTCGTGTGTCTCCAGGTCCAAGAGGTCTCAGGGTAGGACTGGAGGCACAGAGGCAAGGCGCCTGTGCACGGTCATGCAGCTTTCCTGACCTTGCGTGTTTCGGTTCCTCATCCGTGGGACCAGAGGCGGGCACACCGCACCTCGTTCAGGGGGCAGCATGGGATGAAGAGACGATGCACCTGCTGCGGGGGCTGATGCGGCCTGGGGCAGACACGCTCCAAGGGAGCCCCATGTAAGCATCTGTGTCCCGCGGCAGTGAGGACTGTGCCATGTGCCTGGCCACACCCGACTCTACTTGCCCGGTGCCCAGGCAAAGGCGACGGCAGTGGCACATCCTGGGGAACTCTGGGCTCTTGCCGGTGCCACCTGCTCCAGGAAGCACAGTCGGCGAAGGTGCTGGCTCTCCTGAGATGCGGGGGTCACAGTCGGAGGCCAAAGGCATTTCGCATCTTCAGGCTGCACCCTGCTTGCTGGGCTTCAGAGCTGTCACCGGGATCTGCTGGGGCCTCGTCCCCGGGTTCAGGCACGGCAGGGTGGGAGTGGTGAGTGCTGGCTGTGGCATGGTGTGGTCGGCTGCCTCGTGGTGGGGCGGGGAGCTCGGGACTCAGATCCCTGAGAACTGCCGGCCAGGCCAGTGTTTTGAGATGTTCTGAAAGGGTCGGACGTGTAAAGGCGGAGTTGTTTTCCATAACGAAATGGAACCAGCCTGAGATTTGGGCCAGAATCCCCACAGGTGGCAGACCGTGGGCAATCCTGGAGAATCCTCGCCGACAGGGAGACGGAGATGACCGTGGATGAGGGATTTGTGCCGAGCTTGAGGATGTGGTCAGGCGTGTTCCCCGGGTGACGCCGTGGCTGGCACGGGGCCAGCAGCCGGGGCAGGAGGACCGGCTATACAGTAATGGCTCTGCCTCTATCCACAGCTGCTGGCTGTCGCTGGGGAGTGGTGCCATCTGGGCCTTCGTGGCTCCTGCCCTGCTGGTCATTGTGGTAGGTTCCCTGCCCACGGGCACCAAGCTGGGCGGCAGGGTGGGGAGAGGGCAGAGGGGCTGTGTGATGACACAGGGCTCCCCATGACCTAGGGGTCTCCTGTCCCGTACTGCGGGGGACTCCCAGCCTCGTTTTCTTAATGCCCAGGAGGGGTCCTGGGTTTCCTACACGCAATGGCCAGGACTCCTGTGGTGACAGGAGACCCCGTGAAGGTGGTCCCCAGGCTCCTGGGTCAGGAACGTGCCTTGGCTCGTTGGGTTCTAACATTTCCCATGAGCCTTGGAATCGAGTCTCATTTCTGATGGGCAGAGCAGACCTAGATTTCTGCCCACCATGGACCTGTCTCGGGGAGGAGTGCTCTGACTGGCCAGCCTCCAGGTGGCCAGAGGAGAGAAATTCTCTGATTGGCTAGTCCTCACATGGCCAGAGAGAAGGAATGCTCTGATTGGCCAGCTTGGGTGGCTTTCACCCTGGGTCCAGAGTTAAAGATCTCTCTCCCCCAAACCACGTGGACTGGGAGTGGGGAGGAGGGGCTCACTAGAAGTTGGCAGCAAGTGAGGGGCTATGTGCTTGGCAGGAAGTGGAGGATGGTGAGCCCGGGCCAGCAGTGCTTCCATTGTGTGATCGTCTCTGCTCGTGTCAGCACCACGGAGGAATTCACCCAGGGCTGAGTGGCCGAGGGGCAGAGGGGCTCCTGTCCTCGGCGTCCCCGTCGTGAGCACAGTTGGTGATGTTTCTCCCTAGTACCAGGAGGGCCTTTCAGCCAAGACTGTCCTGGGCTGTTGTGGGGGGCATCTCACACCCCATGAGAGTGGTGAAGCGCTGTGCCCACTGCACCGTAGCGCCACCCCCACCCCCACCCCCAGTAACTTCTGCTGAACACCCAGGTGACCCTGATGTGTGGGGGAGCGGAGTGCAGCTGGAACGCTGGAGCCCCACAGCCAGCGTCCCTCCCTCCTGCCCGGCACAGGGCACCGTGATCTCGCCCCCAGGGTCGTCACTTTGACTTTCTTCGCCATTTCACTGCCTGTCCTGGGCACTGCAATTATTTTTCCTTCTGAAGTGCAGCCTGTGCGTTGTCTGCAGTCTGCCACCAGTGGCTTGTTCATGTCTAACAAGGAGGTGCTGTTGACGAAATCCCCGTGACACTTGCGAGACACGCCTCACCCCCCAGGACCACGCTACTTTGTAGGAAGACATCGCGCCCCACGGCCAGCCAGGAATGGGGATGCGTGGAGCGGCGCGAGGGGCCAGGCCTGCTTGTTTTGCTCCTGCACTGGCAGCTGCTGCTCCGTCCTTGCACTGGTGCGGGATCAAGGTCACGGTGAGCACAGTGCCTCTCTGGAGGACACAGCAGATGTGATTATCCTGATCAGAAGGGGATGAAAGCACACAGACCATGGCTGGAGGAGGGAGGGGGAAGATCCAAGACCCGGGAAAACCGGTACAGACACAGGAGTGGGGATGAATCCTAACACTAACAACATGACCGGCTTGACTGCTATGGAAACACTTCACACGGCTCTTTGATCCGGCGGCCAAGAAAGAACAAAGGACCCCAAAGGCTTTGCACGTGGCTCCACTGGAGAAGTCTGGGAAGGCAGCTTGTGGGGCTTGGCAGCTGAGAGGTCGGGAAAGGACCATTAACAGCCGTGAGAAGCTGAGCACGCCCGGGCTGCTGAGTGCCAGGGCCCCTGGGCTCATCTGGACTACTGCGTGGGAGGGACGAGCTCCCCGGGGACGCCTGCCCACTCCTGGGGGACCAGGGCTGCCTCCCGGTCCGGGCCCCTCCCTGACCACTGGAACCCTTGAGTGACATTTCCCTTCCTCCTGATCCCAAGGCCCTGCTGACATGTTCTAGGAAGTCAGCTTGCTACTTCCCTTTAATTTATAACTTTAAAATTTCATTTTTGAATCACTAATGCTCACGGTTCAAAAACTTGAGCTTAAAGATATGTTAGTATATATCCATATGTATTTCTCGATATAAACACGCATGTGTGTACACCTGCATGTATGTGTGCATGTGTGCGTGCGTATGTGAAATGGGATTGCCCTATCTATTTCTCAACTTCCTGTTCCAACTCCCTCCAATGGCATCATCCAGCCGTTTCCTGCGGGCCCAGGCTTTCAACAGATGGAGGCCGCGTGTGAGCCCGCGCGTGGGCCGCCTTTGCTGGTCTTGGCACAGGAGCAGTTCCTGTCTGTGCTCCACGCACACAGCGTTCGGCAGGATGGACAGGGCGGCAGCCCCACGCCTGCCGTCTGCTGCCGGCTCTCCAGCCTGCTGCATCCTCGGTCCGTCCTTGCAAACGAGACTCCAGCTTCTGCCAGGGAGGAAGAGAGGCTACGAGCTCCCGCCGTGACGCAGACAGGCACTGATGCGCGGTGCAGCAGGGCCTGGGAAGCCGCCTAAACGAGGGAGCCGCGGGGGAATTGTTCCCAGAAGCAGTTCAGAACCAGCAGGGAAGCAAAGCACACAACCCGAACGGTGCTCCATGCTCCCTCGACACTCCTGAACTTCAGACCTGCAAGGGCCATGGCACTTTGACTCGCCCCTCCCCTCCACTGACACAGCAGCTGCCACGGGAGAAGCGCCCCCTGCAGGTGGACGCCTACAATCAACTGGAACCAGAATCTGCACTCCTGGAAGCCACAGCTGAGTTAGTGACCCTGCTGTCAGCACTGCCCAGGTTGGAGGGCTTGGACCCTCATGGGAGGGCCAGGCCCCGTCCCCTGGGCTCCCCCTGCCATGGCTGATGGAGGCTTTCCTGTCACTGTAGCCACGCGCCAGTGGTGGCAGAAGGTAGAGGCAGTGTCTGGTCTCTCTTTGCTCTTCCCTTGACCTTGTCTGACAGGTGAGGAAATGAGGATAACAAGGTGGGGGCAGATGCGGCCATCTGAGCTGGCAGGTGCTGGGCTGCTTAAGGCAGGCAAAGCGAGGCCCGGAAAGGAAAACCCCAGCCAAGCCTTCGCTGCTGCAGTGGGCCACTCGGGACAAGGAGCAGTGCCTGAGGCATCCATTATCCTGTTTGTGTCTGATGGATTAGCAAAGTTAGGAGCTGGGGAGGAGAGGAAGTGCTGGCCAGGTCGGGTACAGAGGGGGCCTCAAGGACCCCAGCAGACAGTCTCCATGGAGGCTCATTGGAAAGCCCTTGAATACAGATCTCTGAGTGGCAGGGGCAGGGCCTTCACTGCAGCCAGGCTGGCTGGGCACCAAGGCTGATGTGGGGACGGCAGCCTCGCCAGCAGGCCCGGAGGGAGAGCATGTGCTGGTGCCTGACTCCTCACTGGCTGCACGTGACTGAGCGGGGCACCTCCAGGCACAGACGTGACCAGCAGTGGACTCCACAACAGAAGGAAATGGGGGTGGGAGGGCTGTTAACCTCGCTGTGCCTGCCTGACCCGCTCCTATTCAGGATGCTGGAAAGGGGTCAGGTGCTATCGCAGTGTTGGCCAGGAGCCCCCCCAGGCCCTCTCAGCCCCACGGGTTCCAAGGGGAGCCTTCCAGCAAGGTCCCAGAGTCCCTGCTGCTATGGTTTCTGGATCACAGCCATGGGCCGGGGCGAGGGTAGGAACTGAGAGCCAGCAATGTGCTGGGCCACACGAGCACGACTCCACCTCCACCAACAACCAGTCTTCTCTGTGGCTGCCACTGTTCTCTGATCCTCACACAGGGGCTGAGGTCTGAGGGCTTGGGCCCAGGGCCGTGCACAGTGGGCGATGCTGAGTCTGTCTCCCTCTTGCCTCGGCATGCTCAGAGGACCAGGTGCTCCCTGTTGGCTTCTACTCTCAGGGCAAGCCTGGCACGTGGTTTGTGGACTTGGGTCAGACTTGTCCCAGTGGCGTCACCTGCTTGCCTAGGAGTCCTGGCCAGGGGGTGGGCAGAGGTGGGCTTGGGCAGCAGCCGGGTGACCTGCAATGTTGGGCAGGGCAGCCCCGCCCCCTCACTCCTCTGCTGCTGTCCCCCGTGTGCAGGTCAACATCGGCATCCTCATCGCGGTGACCAGGGTCATCTCGCAGATCAGCGCCGACAACTACAAGATACACGGAGACCCCAGTGCCTTCAAGTAAGCCAATACCCGCTGTCAGCACTGCTGCGGCCTTCGCCAGAGGGCTGCAGGGGTGGGGGGACATGCGCCTCCCATGGCGTCACCAAAATCCCGACTCTCTCAGTGTCCTCACGACCTCTGGAGGCAGCCCTGGCTTCTCCTCCCCACTTAACCCCATTTCAGTCCCACTGTCCCAGGACAAGGCCTCACGTCACCTCAGGGCTGCGCACCCAAAGGACCAAGGTTGCCAGATGTTCTCCTGGGAGGCAGCGGGCAGGGGCCAAGGTGAAGATTCTCGAGCCCAACAGCCTGGGCCAGTCCTGCTCCTGTCCCAACAGCCACTGGGCCCTCACCAGTGACCTAAGTCTCAGTGCCACGCTTCCCTCCCCTGCAGAACGCGCACGAACAAGGGACCCACCCCACAGGGCTGCCATGTGAAGGCGGCTTCTCCAGAGCTGCCCGACGGGCTCAGTGCGCTCCACGGTCGGGGATGGCGCTCTGGGAGGACCCCACCCCGACCCAGTGCCGTGTGTCTGCAGGACCCCCACCCCTAGCACCTGCTGCCCTGGGGGCTTCCTGCCCAAACCAGTCAAGGTGCAGAGGGCTTTGCCTGTGAGGACTCGGGACCAGAGTCTCCGAGTCCACCTGGCTCTGGGTGCAGTGCACACCCCCTATCCTCGGAGGTGGGGTGGGGTCTCCGCTCAGGGATGCAGGGGCTCGGAGAGCGACAGCACTCGCCGTCTCTAAGTTACTTGAGCTACAGTCTATCTGTCCTAATCTGAAAGCAAAAACAGTAAATATGCCAGCAGCAAATCGATGAGATAATTATCCCACAACGATTTCCAAACACTGTAGATTAACTTGACAGGCCCTCCGGCCCTCCAGGGCGTTCTCAGCCTCTGGAGTCCTTAGGGACCGCGTCCATGCAGAGAATGTGCTTCAGGGATCAGTGGAGAAGTGCCACCCTGTGAGGCTGCCCGGCCACCAGGGGTCCCGCCCCTCCGCACTCAGCCCTGGCACGCAAGGCCAGCCATGGTCCCTAGTGCAGGCTCTCCCTCCTGAGCCCCTGCCCCCGGGGCACAGCTGTGCAGTCCCAGGCCTACCACTGACAGGCCAACCCGCTGCTCCTCCTGCTGCCCCCGCCAAAGCCCAGGGCACCGTCTCTGCAGCTGCTAGGGGCCGAGTCTGCAGGTGACAGCCAGGCACCACTGCCCTCCCGGGGAGGCTCTCTGCTGTGTATGCTGCGGGTCCTCACCTTCCTCTCAGTGGCCATGTCCAATCCTGTGGACACTTTCCCCCAATCTGCCACGTGACACCTGCCCGGGCCTGGCGGCAGAATGGGAGCTGTAGCACGTGGGATACCTGTGGCTCAGAGACCATTCCTTCCACATCCTGTCTCTCCAGGATCTAAGGCTGTGGTTACTAATGCACAGGATTGCGTTTCTGGGAGACAGGTGTTTATCCTCACTTAGGAACACTGCGGAGCGTGCTGGCCAGGGCCTCCTGGGGGCTGAGGCGCTGGAACTGGCCTGGCTTTCACCAGGATTCGCTGCCAGGAGCTGCCGGCGCCTGGTCCTGGGTGTCTGTCAGGGAGGCTCCTCTGGCCGGGTCCCAGCTCCTTCCAGGAGGCGCCGGGCCCTGTGAGCAGCATTTCCCACATTCATCCCTTTGTTCCTGTGCACATCCGCTCCCTTGGTGATCCCTCCTCAGAGCGGGTCCTGGCGCTGGATGCAGAGATGATGGGATTGAGTCCTGGCCTTAGAATGTGCAGCCACCACTGTACACGAGGGGGTGAACTGAGCCATGAGGCAGTTGCTGAGCTGGGCACCAAGGCCCCCATTTGTCTCTACACCTTTCTCTGAAGCTCAGTGTAGAAGGCCACACCATGGAAAGCCCAGCTTATTTCAGAAGTCAGCTGGACAGAGTGCGTTGTAAGTGGTTTGAACTCAGCAGCCTGCCCTGGCTCGTCTTCGCAGCCAGTGTTCTGGAGTTGCTTCTGGGCCAGCTCTGCCAGGGCTCTGTGGACCCTGAACTTCTGATTCAAGTCGTGCCCAGGGCTCTGTGGACCCTTGGTTCCCTGAACTTCTGATTCAAGTTGTCCCCAGGGCTCTGTGGACCCTTGGTTCCCTGAACTTCTGATTCAAGTTGTCCCCAGGCTGCTGGGCTCATTGGTTCTGTCCCCGGTAGCACCCGCCTGGACTTCCACCCGGCATTACCATGGATTGGACTTGGTGGTCAGCCCAGTGAGCCCTGCGTGTGCCGGCTCCTAGCACCCAAGGAAAGCGGCAGGGACCAGAAACAGCGCCATGTGGCAGCCACAGCCAGCCTGGAGAGCTGCCTCCTATGACCCAGGCGGGCTGCCCGGCCCCTTCCCACTCAGGGCCTCCCTCCAGGGCTGTTCTCTGGCCCCCACACAGCTCCCACATCCCCTGCTGTAGCAGAAAACCTGTCTTGGGAGGTTGGGAGGGAGAGAAGAGCTCACAGAATCACCAGCCAAGTCCCAGCAGGGCAGCTGGGGAGGCCCCGGAGGGAGGAAATGGCCGGCAGTCTTGTGGGACACTGACCAACCCAGCACCCCGAGGCTGGCTCTGATGGGGCAGCCTGAGTCACATGTCACTTTGCAGGCACAGGGACCAGGAAGCAACCTGACCCGCTGTCGTAGGGAGACTGCAGCCAGTGAGAGCAGCCCCAGAGCATCCCGGGACACAGCTGAGCGAGGAAGGCGTCAGGGCAGGCAGGGGAAGCGCACACGTCCTAACCTCACCAGGCAGGGCAGAATTCACAGTGCCACAGCTGGGGAGGCTCACTCCTGGGTTAGAGCAGGCACTAACACGGGCCTTCCGTGGGCAAATCTGCACCCCAGCAGGTTCTGCCACTGGCCACCGCTGGGGACTTTGTTTCCATATCCATAAAACGGGGTCATCTCATCTGTGTCTGGCAGGCCTGTGGCACTCCAAGGAACAGCCAGGCGGGCTGGCGTGTGTGGTGCGGCAGAGGCAGGGCAAGGCCGGTCAGCGCCAGGTGCGCTGCCATGGCCCCGGGGCTGGCTGTCGGGGGTGGTGTGTGCAAATGCACCAGGGGCTGTGACTCCCCGGACAGCAGCTTTCGTGGTCTGGGTGCAGAGCTTCGTTCCTGGGCCCTGGGCACCCCCTTCCCTGCTCCCGGAAGTGCTGGCTGTGAATGCAAACAGGCTCTCTGCTACTGGGTTCCCCAGGATCACCTCCTCTGCCTGGTTCCTCTTTCTGTCTTTGCAAACAGCTCAAACGTAACCCCTGGGCCTGGCCAGACCTCCCCTCACTGTTCTGGGCAACTCTGGGGGGCTCGGTGCTGTGTGGGTCTGCATGCCTTCCCACCTGCTCCCCAGCCCTGACACAGGTGAGTGCCTCACCTGAGGCTACCCAGGAGAGGACCAGGGCTTGCTCCCAGCAGAGGTGGGTGGCTCGCGTCTCGATACCGGCTCTCACAGCCTGCTCCTGCCTGCCCACTGCCCACTGCCCAGCTCTGCTCCTCTTGCAGGCTGACAGCAAAAGCTGTGGCTGTGCTGATGCCCATCCTGGGAACCTCCTGGGTCTTCGGAGTGCTTGCTGTCAATGACCGGGCTGTGGTCTTCCAGTACATGTTTGCCATACTCAATTCCTTGCAGGTAAGAGCTGCGGAGACCGTGTTGGGCTTTTTACCAGCAGATGTGTGGGACAAAGTTGCTACAAAGGGCAGGAGGGAAGCTGATCCTCCACCCTCCGCACGAGTCCGTGGTGTGCCATGTCCCCATGGACAGAGGCAGCAGTGGAGCACACCAGGGGCCTTGGGAAGACACGGCCTGCAGGACCAAGACCCCCTCAGGCCGCCTTGGGCCTTGGCCAGTATCTGCGAGGCACCTCCAGGCCGGAGAGTCTGCAGCAGTGCCTGGAAGGAAGCCAGGCGTGGAGTGGAAGGGCGGGAGGTAGCTTAGGCTCTGTTCCTCTGTAGGAAGGGGCAGCCTGGGAACCAGATTCTGAGCCCCCAGCCCCAAAGGAAGGGGAGCGGGTGTCTACCGCCCCCACAACACACCTCAGGCCTCACCAGGCTGTCCTCACTGCACCTCGTGTTTAAGGAAGGTGCCTTGCTGTGGTGCTGGCTGCTGCTCTGGGATAAGCTTCCACGTGTGGTTTTCCTGCCTTGGATGTAGAAATGTGGACAGGTGCTTCCACCTGTAGCCCATCCACAGGCCAGGCCTGCCTGTCCTCTGTATCCTCTCCTGTCTCCTCCTCCAGGGCGGGGGGGATGAGCTGACGCCTGTGAAGTGTTTCCTGGTGCCTGACCCACCACAGCAGTCCTCAGATGCTTGGTGACACTACAGGCCTGCAAGCACACACATCACAGCTCAGTGTCAGGCCGATGGCCACGCCCCCAGTACCTGCCTCTCCCTCATCCTCCTGCCTGCACTTCTGCAGGACAACCACCTGAATCAAGGGGAGACTACAGGGGTGAATCCAGGCTGCCCCTCCCTCCTCACGGACTTCAGGGGGTCCAGTGGCCGTAAGCCCTGGACAGCGCGCTGTGCCAATGCCATCCTGAGACTCTGAATCTCAGCAGTGCTTGTAACAGAACTCAATGGCTCTAACTCTGCACTTCCCTCCTTTCTCCCCAGGGACTGTTCATCTTCCTCTTTCACTGCCTCCTGAACTCAGAGGTAAGCCCCTCTCCTCCCAGCACCTGCGGCTTCTCCTTCTGAGGGCACAGAGCACAGGAACGGTGTTCCTTCCAAGACTGCAGTCTGGGGTCGCATCCCGAGTCGGCCCTGTTGCTGGTGATGAGCCCAGCTTCCATGGCCAACTCCATTTCAATCTCACATTGACTAACCGTGCCCTCCACGTTGTATTTGGTGCCCTGAGGCCTCCCATCAGAACAAATTCCTAGAGACTGCTTAGAGCGCCCTGAGTGTTGCTGTTCCAACCTGAAATGGCACCTAACGAACCCTTCCTCCTGCTTTTGAAGGTGAGAGCTGCCTTCAAGCATAAAACCAAGGTCTGGTCCCTGACAGGAAGCTCCGGCCGCAGCGGCCACGCCAAGCCCTTCAGTTCTGACATCGTGAGTGCGGGGCAGGGGGGCACAGACTCATCTGGAGCACCCCTGTTTGGGCTGACCCTGTGTGATGCCTCCCACCCCCGGCCTGCATGGACCCCAGCAGTCTGTCAGTGGCCTGGCAGCACAGGCTGCTCTCTGGGCTCATTGAGCCACATGCGCTACAGGCCCCGTCTCTGCATCCACAGCCACCCACCCCCTGCACCTCTGCTCCGTCCTCAGCAGTGCCCAAGGCCTGGGGTGCCGGATGTTCTCACTCCCCCATCTGACAAGCCTGTGGGCGGCACCTGCTCTAGGCTCGTGTCCCCCCCACAGATCCTGGGTCCTGCAGCGTCCACCACAGCCTTTCCCCTGCCCCACTTCCCAGTGTCAATTCTCCCTGTGCTTAGGGAAATGCAAAGAGGAGCTGAGCCGGGGCAGCCGCTGGACAAGGCCGACCATGTCTGATGGAGGCAGTCTAGCACAGCCCCGCCTCAGGAGCTGTTCCCTGCCTTGGATCCCCCCAGGTCTGGTGCTCAGTGCTCCCACCACGCATCTCATTGTCCAGCACGGGCCTGGTCCCCTCCTGTAGGAAGTGACCACTTCCTGTGCTCCACACTCCCAGGCAGTCGGAGCAGCCAGTATGCTCCTCCTGTCACGTAGCCCTCACTGTCACCTTCCTGAATGGCACTACACGAAAGTGCCCCCCACCCCAATCATCACTGCCTGGTCCCAGCCGGCCTCCCCCATTGCAGCGAGGACCCCACTGGCTGGTGACCGCTCTAACCCCACACTCTACAGGAGCCCCAGACCCTATGCTTAGCAAAGGCCCAGTGTGAGCAGATGTTTGCATGGATGGATGGATGTGCACCCGAAGCTGGGGAAGGGTGGTGGTGGTGGTGGCGGGGGAGAGGGTCGGGGGGAGAACGCTCAGCCAGCCCCTGCAAGCATTCAGCCCCTCCCTTCCCAGGGGAGCAGAGGCCTCCTTACTGCCCCATGCCCAGGAGGGCCCTCGTCCCTCTTCTGGGCTGCCAACTTCCTCTCAGCAATACCCGGGCTTTGGGTGTTCCCCAGGGAGTGGTGTGCATGCCTCGCTCCTGTTTTCCAGATGAACGGAACCCGGCCAGGCACAGCCTCCACCAAACTCAGCCCTTGGGACAAGAGTAGCCATTCTGCTCCCCGTGTGGACCTGTCCGCCGTGTGATGGGAGAAGCTGCTGTCCAGGCCAGTCTGCCACCAGGAACATGTGCCACCCTCCAAGCATGACAAAACAAGCACCCAGCCCTCACCTGTGGGTCCCTCTCCTCACTGCTGTCTGGACATGGGAGTCACAGCCCTCCTGCGACTGAGTCCTGTGGTCACCACAGCGGCATGGTGCCCCGGAGGGCGTGCTTGGTGACGGCAGGGGCTCCTGGTCTGTGCACCAGCTGCCCTCTGCAGGTACCCAGGACAGGCAGTGGCTGCTGCTGCATGTGAGCCTCCCCTCCCCACTTGGAGTGCACAGAGCACTGGGCCCAGGAAGGCTGCAGCAGCGCAAGGGGAAGTGTGTCCTCTGCTTTGACGGGGACATGGCACCTGACAGGTGGGTCCTGTGTGGTGGCTGAGGGTCAGGTAGGGAGCGTGTCTAACCTGCTGAGTCGATCCCATGAGCTCCCTGAAGCCAGTACTGACCGACACATGCTTCTTTCTGGATGTGATGCCAGAGGGACCCGGCTCGTGTTTATGAGTGGTCGATCCTGGTCCCTCTGTCCACATGAAGGGCTTTGGGCTGTAGGTCCTGGCTGTCCCACTCTGGTTCTGTCCGCAGAGCGGATGCCTCTGCCCTTGTCCGGAGCCTGGCAGAGTCCCAGCCTCCCAGCCTGACCGTGCCCTGCCCAGGGGAGCTTCTCAGACTGTTCTGTGCGAGTCCCTGGACCCAAGGCCAGCCTTAGAACAGCCCCTTCCCTCGCACGAGAGCCACGTTTTGCTCACGGGCCCCCAGAGCTGCCTGCCTCCTGCACTCTCCTGGGTCTGGATCCCTCCGTTCCGGACCTGACCCCACCCGAGATTCCTCATCACTTAGGCTTCCCCTCCCTGCTCCTGAGCAGAGCACAGCACACTGTTCCACATTCCTGCACCGGCAGAGCCCACCACCGCCCAGGCCGCCTGCTTTCCACGTGGCAGACCCCAGCCGAACCTGACTGCCCTCCCTGGCACAGAGCTGACCGTAGCTGGGCCTTCCACGTGGACATTAATTTCTGGACTTGGGCTCAGCCCTGCAGGAAATGTAGTAACTGTGACGACTCCATGAGCGAGATATCTGTGGGACCCAAGTCTGGGATCACACATGTGAATCCAAACACCTGTGGGACACTTGGCACCAGGCTGTGAGATCCTGCAGAGTGGGCACAAGCTCACTACGTGTGTGCTGAGACAGGCCTGTTTCTGATACTGGAAAATCTTCCTTTAACACTGTGACCATGACAGCATTGATCCCTCCCTGTCCCCCACCACTGGAGCGCATCCATCACTTAACAGGCTTCTCTGCCAAGGGGAGCAGCCTGCCCGGGGGTGGGGGTGGGGGTGGGGGTGGGGGTGGGGCAGGCAACCTTTGTTCTTCCACATCTGGGCGAAGTCATCTGCCTTCCTGGCGTCCCCGTGGCCAGCTGCGGCAGACCTGGCTGACAGGCCCAGACCGCACAGTCGCCCTGTGCTTAGTGAATCGCCTGCAGAGGCACGACCCCAGCCTCGCTGTCACTCCCGAAATGCGACCACTGGCCACGTGGGTTAGAGCCCCGTGGTGCCACTGAGGATGCTGTCTTCCTAAGCTTGACACTTGGGTTTTTGCTTTTTCCTTACGTGGTTTCTGGGGAAGCATATCCAGTAAGCAACTGTCTTCTGTTTGGGGTGGAATTATTCTAACTTGGCATAGACACTATATAGTTTTAATATATCAAGAGAAGTAACAAAAACCTGTCTAAACTTTTTATTTCCAATGAGTGAAAGTAGTGCACTTTATTTATAGGCTACATATTTCAGCTTCTGCTCATACTTTATCTACACATAATTTGGCCAAAGATATGAAATTGGAGAGAATCGTGTGTTCGAGGTAGTTTATAGCACAGGAATGATGATGAATGCCACTAAGTAGTGAAAATATGTTGTGATTTTTATGAAATAAAACCTTAATGTCCTTAAATAAAGTGTGCTGTGAAATGTTGCTGGTGGAATGTGAGGCGGACTGAGCCTTCTAACAGGGACAGAGGAAAACGGGAGGAAGAGCCCGTCGGGATTCACTCAGCACCTCTGGCCTGTGCATGCACTTCAGCTGGTCCTAGAGGTACACACACCAGAGCCAGCCAGCGGGCAGGGGGATGGGGAAGGGGGGACGAAGAGAGGAACGTGTGCACCCCCCCCCCTTAAAGATTTGAAAGGCAGAATTAGAGACACAGAGGGACAGGTCTTCCATCCGCTGGCTCATTCCCCAAATGGCCACAATGGCTGGAGCTGGGCCGATTTGAAGCCAGGAGCTTCTTCCAGGTCTCCCATGCAGGTGCAGGGGCCCAAGCACTTGGGCCATCTTTCCCAGGCCACAGCAGAGCTGGACTGGGAGCAGAGCAGCCGAGTGTCTAACTGAACGCAGCGTAGCAGGTGGCAGTGTTACCTGCTCTGCCACAGTGCTGGCCCCACAGCCCCTTTTTACCCCCACATCTCTGCAAAGCACCCTCCTGCTGCTTTTCATGGGCAAAGAGTGGGGCCACCAGTCTCAGGGACACTCCATCTGCTTCAGCTTGGGGGTCTCCGCCCCGTTAGCAGACGTGACTCCCATGGCCCTGCTTCAACCTCTACTTTTAAACTCACCATGCTGGGGCAGGCCGTGTGGCACTGCTGCTTGGGAGTCCACATCCCACACCGTGGTGCCTAAGACTGCGTCCTGGCACCTCTGCTGCTGACCCAGCTTCCTGCTGATGCCCCTGGACGGTAGCACGAGATGGCCCAATCCTTGGGTCCCCACCACCCACACAGGAGGCCTGGATGTAGTTCCTGGTCCCAGGCTTCAGTGGGCATTTGGGGAGTGAACCAGTGGATGGCAGTGTACTTGTGTGCTCTGTTGCTTTCCCTTTCAAATAAATAATAATAAATATAAGAAACAGAACTGCTCATGGGCCGGCATTGTGGCGTAGCATGTAAGGCTGCCTCCTGCAGTACCGGCATCCCATATGGACACCGTTCTAAGTCCCGGCTGCTCCACTTCTGATCCAGCTCTCTACTGTGGTCTGGGAAAGCAGTGGAAGATGGCCCAAGTCGTTGGGCTCCTGCACCCACTGGGAGACCCAGAAGAATCTCCTGGCTCCCAATCAGCACAGCCCCAGCCGTTGTGGCCATCTGGGGAGTGAACCAGCAGATCAAAGACTTCTCTTTCCCTCTCTTCCTCTACCTCTCCTCCCTCCATGGAGCTCTGACTTTAAAATAAATCAATCTTAAAAAAAAAGAAAGAAATAAAACTGCTCACATGAACCATTTTACATGTTACTGTAGGAGGCACTTCAATTTGTGGAAAAAATGTTATTAAAAGATGCTTATTTGGGAGCAAAAGATTTGGAAATCCAACGTTTTTTCGTAATACCCATTTTTCATAAATGTTACGAAGATTCCTTCTCTTCATGGATTTCAAAAATTTTTCACCCAAATAACCTTTTCCATTTCCAGTAACTTTCTGAAGTACTTTTCATATACTTTTTTCATAATTGTAAGTGTAATGTATGGAACACATTCAACTATAGATATTTTACTGAAGACTTTGCCATGCTAGTATCAGCTTACGTTTCATAATAGTGTATGTATTTGTTGTATTTTATCTGTATTTATTTTACACATACGACAGGTGGATGGATAGTGATGTCCTTGCTCATATGGCAGCTTTTCTTGTATTTCCCCTACACGGATTACTTCCCGGGGTAAAACTGCGCTTCTGCAACAAAAGGAGCCAGTATTCCTGTGGCTCTTGAGGTCTGTTGCCAAATCGCTTGCCAAAACGGACACTGGATCAGCTCAGTCTTCCCGGCACGGGTGGCAGCGGCATTTCCTCTGGTTTGGCCTGTGTGACTCCCTAGTTTGCACTCACTTGGTTACTGTGAGGGTGAACAGTTCCCCACGTCTTCACTGTGGTGGCTGAAATCCCACCCGTGCTGAGGCGACGTCTCATCCACTGTGTTTTCTCACAGTGCTTCCAGTCTGTCTGGTCTCTCCCATGCTGATGTGAATGGATTTTGATGAGCACTGGGACAACGTCCTAGGTGACCTGCACCAAGATGGGGAACCAATGGCCTCCGCTCCCAGATTCTCAGCCCAGCCTATGATGACTTCGGCTACTTCCATCTCCTCAGTGAGTGGGTCTGGGCTCTGCTCAGTCTTGGGCATTTCTCTGTCCACTGCGTCCTGTGCCACTGGAGGAGTGGCCATGCACTCAGGTAGCAAGCCCTGTCCTCCCCCAACACTGGGGCTGCCCCGATCCTGCCCTCCCATGCCCACAACCCACCCATGTCCCAGCCTGGGGATGATGCCTCCTCCTTAAGGACCCCCAAGCCTGAGTGGGCGTGGAAGGGGCAGGGGTGACCTCCACGGAGCTTCCCAAGCCTCGCACACAGAGGCTTCTGCTTCCCATGCAGACTGGACTGTAAAACTATTTTCCCCATGTTCAGACAGTTTGAGTGGGACAAAGATGTGGACAGTTTGCACTGTGGCCAATTCCTGCTTTCTTAATCAGGTTTGGTTTGTCTTCAGCCGTCCTCTATTTTTAGCCTTTGTCAGTGTGTGCTAGAGTTCTTCACTTCTGAAAGGCATGTTATTAGACACATCTGCAAATTGAGTCTGAGGCTTTCTGCTTTTGATGGGGAACTGGGATCTTTGTACTCATGTGACATTTATAACTTCTGAACATTTGCAATCCTACTTATGCTTTCTTTTATGTCCTGTTACTTCTCAGTGCAGCTCTTCAATGTTGTGGATACATTTTACAAAGGGACTGGCACTTACCAAAGTTACATTTTTTCGGGGTCAGTTCTCTATTTCCTGTTTTCAACAAAGGTTTTATTTAGTCAGCTGTGGATTTCATTTTATTGCACAGCACATTCTACCCATATGGGCTCTTCTTTATGCTTTGCCATGTGTCCTTTTATCTCACTGGAAAAAGCAAACAGCCGCACTGTGAATTCTACTTCCTTCGACTGCAAGTCTTCTCCAGGAGGAACATTTTCCTCTCTTTATGGTGTTGCGTGTGTTGCAAATCTTTCACAGTGCCAGATATATTGGTGTCTTTTTCCTCATTTGTGAGTTTATTTTGGAGATCAGGATTATTTTCCAAATCCTAAATGCTTTTCCCATGGCTAGGGTGTGGCTCTGACCGCCAGAGAGTAATCGTTATTTCCAGGTTATGGTGGACCACAAAGTGTTAATTAAGTTCTCTACCAAGCAACATGCATCCAATCAGTCTTTAGACTGCAAAAAATGCATCTCCCACCTCTCGTCTTCCTGAATGTGGGCCCTGCAGCCACTAATGAGCTCACTTGAAAAGCATCCCACAGCTGCAGACTGACCTTGGGCATTTTCAACGGATGAATATCAAACATGCAGTGTGCGGGAGGGAGGGCGGAGGGGCGGGCGGGCTGTGCCAGTATTTTTGCAAGCAGAAGTTGGGACCCTCTCACAGGAGCAGTCAGAGCCAGTCTGATATGAAGACAGAGCTGAGGCCGGCTGCATGCTGGTTCCATTACTGACCTGACAGCTCGTTGTCTCTACACAGAACCCAGAATCTGAACCCTCTGCTCAATTCTTGTCTCATTTTTGTAAAATAAGCTTTCAATTTTAGAAAACCACTTAGAAAGTACACAAAGTCTCCCTGTAACTCACTCCCAGCTTCCTCCACTCTGAGGAGTAAGGCGGTGTCCCTGAGCAAGGCTGAGCTGCTGTGTGCCAGGATTCGTCCCTGTGGGGCCACCCTCTCCACGCCATATCACACTCTGCAAGGAAGCCACTAAGGAGTGGGCAGTCAGAGGGAGGAGGAGCCACCTGTTATGACACGGGAGCAGTCGGTCCTCCCCAGATGCAGCCACTCCCCTGCACCAGCATGGGCTCGTGGATGCTTGTTTGCTGGGCACCACCAATATAGTTTGTCACCCGTGACTCCAGCACTGGCCACTGGGAGCTTTTGTTGCCTCTGTGTCCCTTTGCCATGCAAGGAGACTTCAACAAATTTGTGGACATAGAATGAAGACCAGAATAGGTTACAAAAACCAAACCAAACATCTCTGAATTACATCTTTCCATGAAGCTCTTAAAGCACCCCTGTTTTGTCAGCATGTGTGTGGGTGCTCTGAGCACTTCCTTTAATAGACACATGTTTGGCAAATATTGCACCCCAGTGTGTGACTTGGCTTTTCATTCTCTTTACATAATCCTTCACAGAGAAAGTTTTATTTTGGTGAATTTCAATTGATTGGTCTTATCTTTTGTTGACTATTACTTTTGGCATCTTGTCCAAGGATTCTTCAACACACCCTTGACCCAAGATTTTCTATGTTTTTTTTTTTAATAATTATTTTATTTATTTGAAAGTCAGAGTTACAGAGAGAGAGAGGAGAGGCAGAGAGAGAGGTCGGTCTTCCATTCTGTTGGTTCACTCCCCAAACGACCACAACGGCCAGAGCTTTGCTGATCCAAAGCCAGGAGCTTCTTCCAGGTCTCCTACGCAGGTGCAGGGGCCCAAGGAGTTGAGCCATCATCTTCTGCTTTTTCAGGCCACAGCAGAGAGCTGGATCAGAAGAGCAGCAGTTGGGACTCAAACTGACGCCCATATGGGATGCCAGTGCTGCAGGCTGGCGCTTTAACCCACTGTGCCACAGCACTGGCCCCTCCTATGTTTTCTTCTAACCATGTTATAGTTTTAGCTTGAATCTAGATATAATCCTTTTAAAATTGAGTTTTGGGGGCCAGTGCTATAGTGTAGTAGGGTAAGCCTCCACCTGCAGCACCAGCATCCTACATGGGCACTGGTTCGTGTTGCAGCTGATCTTCTTCCTTTCCAGTTCACTACTATAGCCTGGGAAAGCAGCAGTCAAAGGCCCAAGTGCTTGGGCCCCTGCACCTGGGTGGGAGGCCTGGAAGAACCTCCTGGCTTCAGATCAGCTCATCTCCTGCCACTGTGGCCACTTGAGGAGTGAACCAGTGGGTGGAAGACCTTTCTCTCTCTCTCTCTCTGTAACTCTACCTCTCAAATAAATACATTTTTAAAAATATTTATTTGAAGGGCAGAGTTAGAGGCAGAGAGAAAGGTTTTCCATCCACTGGTTCACTTCCCAAATGGCTGGAGCTATGCCGATCCGAAGCTGGGAGCACCTTCCGGGTCTCTCACACAGGTACAGGGGTCCAAGGACTTGGGGTATTTTCCACTGCGTTCCTAGGCCATAGCAGAGAGCTGGATCAGAAGTGGAACAGCCAGGACTTGACCCAGCGCCCACAGGGGAGGCCAGCACTGCAGGCAAAGGCTTTACCTGCTACACCACAGCAGTGGCCCCAGTAAATAAAAATCTTCTTAAAATTTTTAAAAATTAAGTTTTGTATAAGGTGCGGGGTTTAGGTCAAGACTCATTGCGTGTAGACTCCCTGATGAACATCCAACAACAGCAGCCTCCTCTGTTCAGAGGTCTCTCCACTCTTGAATTGTCTCGGCTCCGTTGTCAAAGAGTGGTCCTACAGATCTTTGGGTCTGTTTCTTCCTTCCAACAACCACAGTCTTCATTATCATCACTTCCTAGTTATTCTTGAAATAAGGAGGTTTGAGTTCCCAGACTACATTCCCTAGGTCTGGTGCCTTCCACACCAGTTTGTCAATATCTATAAAAGATCTTGCTGGAATGTTGACTGGGACTGAAATGAATCTGTAGGCCAATCTTATCTAGTTGATTTCTTAATAATATTGAGTCTTTCAATCCATGAATATGGAGTGGTCCTCCATCTGTTTGGATGTTAGAATTAGAATGATTTCTTCTTTAAATATTTGGTAGATTTCAGACTGACATTCAGATCCCAATGTAAAATCTTTAACTCATCTTCAGTGATTGCCTTAGGGTTTGCAATATAGATTTTAAAGACTCTAAACCCCGCTCCAGGTAGAATTTACCAGAGATTCTGCAGGGACCTGTAACACTGCCCCCTCCGTCCTCCCTTCTGACCCTACGACCTTGCTGTCCCTCATTTCACTTGCCTATCTGGTTTGATCACACAGTGCACCGCTATTATAAAGTTATTTTTGGACCAAGAATTTAAAAAGGTTGCACTTCCATTTCTCCTCTGATCCTCCTCCATCCTTCATGTCATGTCAATCCATGTCCCGACTGCACCACTTTCCTGGAAAGCAGGGTCTGCTGGCCGACGACTTCCCTCAGGTTTGGTTTGAGACAGTCTGAATTCCCCGTCCCTTTTAAAGGAGAATCTTGCTGTCATACCTTGTGCATTTTTTTTCTTTCAAAAATTTTAACATTTCACTCCTTTTTGCTTGCACAGCTTCTGGCTCAAAGTCCATTTTAATTCCTATTTTTGCTCGTCTATAGGCAAGATGTTATTTTTTTCCTCATTTCAGAATCACCATTTTAACATAGGGCATCCTGCACAGCATTCTCCGAGTTCCTGGGTCTGCAGTTTGGTGTCTTAATTTGGAAAATTCTCAGTCATGATTATTTCAAGTATTTCTTCTGCCTTTATTCTTTTTCTGATATCCCAATCACACGCACACAGCATCTTTCATAGTTGTCTCGCGGGTCTTTATGTCCTTTTTTCTTTTTCCCTTTTCTTCCGCTTTGCATTTATTTTTGGGAAGCTCCTATCAACCTATCCTCAAGCTCACTGAATATTCCTTCCACTCTGTTTACTCCACTGACCAGCCTGTCAAGGGCATTTTCCATTTCTGTTGAAGGGTTTTGGTTTCTAGCATCTCATTTTGATTCTCTGATTTCCCATCTCTCTACTTACATTACCCATCTGTCTGGCATATTGTGTACTTTGTCCATTATAGCTCTTAGCATATTAGTCATCATTTTAAATTTCCCAATTGCAACATCTGTGTCATATGTAAATATGGTTTTGATGTTTGTTAGATTTCTTCTTGCCTTTTGGTTTGCTTTTTTAAAAAACTGTTTTTGTTAAAAGCTAGTAAACATTTTTGTACTGAGTATCAGGAACTGAAGTAAATGAGGGTTTAGGGTGAAGACTGGTACTAACTTGGTTAGAATGCGGGCTGTATGTTTAATGTCTGCTTTGACTGTAGGTGACAGAGACTTCTTTTTTTTTTTTTTTTTTTTTTGACAGGCAGAGTGGACAGTGAGAGAGTGAGAAAGTGAGAGAGTGAGAGAGAGAGAGAAAGGTCTTCCTTTGCCGTTGGTTCACCCTCCAATGGCCAGAGACTTCTTTTTATCTGTAGTCTTCATATTGGACTTTGCCGATCTACAAAAATGCTTCACAAAATTTGAAGAATGGAATTAAAAGATGTTTATTTTGGTGCACAAACTTTTTAGTATGCTTTTTCCATGAATCACCTGAAGACCTTCTGTACACCTCAGTGTCCACCTGCAGTGCTCTCAGCTGTGCCCATGCACTGTTCCGCTGTGCCCTTGTCATGGTCAGGTGTGGGACAGGGGATGTGTTGCACACCCTGGGTCTGAGTCCAGGATGGTGACCTTCACCAGAGGTTCTCCAGTGACAAAGAATTTTGCCTTCTTAGGGGAGACTGAAGATCCAGGCCACAGGCAGGAAGTTCTGGCCGTTCCCAGAGACGGGGCAGGCTTTGGTACAACCCTTCACCTGAGCGTAGGTGGTTGCTGCTAACACGGTAGGGGGACAAAAGCTGTGGCTCCCAGCTCTCCTGCCATGTCACCTTGGTGCACTCCAGCTACACCGAAAAGGGTTTCTCTTCCCCACTCCTGCCTCTGGGGACTTGAGAACGAGTCGAGGGAGGAACCCAGCAGGGGGCAGAACCCAGAGATCTGACCCGCTCCTCCAGACTCTGGTACATAAGTACCCCAGAACATTGACCTAGCTGTAGAAAAAGGATGACAATGGGGGTGCAGAACCCCCAAGTCATTCACAGTTAAATGCTACCTCCTATCCCTGGGGAATCGATATCTGAAGTCTTGGTCCATAAGATGTAGGGCAGCCATATTCTGCACATGGCAGTGAAGAGCTCACGCAGCTGACACTGGTGTCACCATTCACCAGCCCTGGCCCCTCGTGCCAAGTGTTCTAGATGCCCCACCTGGGACTCACCCCAGCCCCAAGTCCTTTCCAAGGACTGGTTTAGACAAAGACATGTTGGGGGAGGAGCCCTTGACATTGGGGGAGGAGCCCTGTGCCCCTCGCCTGTGCATGGTGATGCTCACTCCGGAAGCTGGGAACCATCACGTGACACAGGATTTGGCCAGGCTAAGCTGACCACGCAAAGGACGGCTGCAATGAGGTTCAGAAAGCCAGGGACTCTGAGAGTGCATGGAGCTACCTTATGCCCTAGGGCCCCTGGGAGAAGAGAGCTTCCTCGTTCCCTCCAGGCAAGCAGCGTCTCCTGTTGGTCCAGCTGGGGCCCAAATGCCCAACAGGGAAGGGAGGGCTCCCCTGTACTGCCTGAGGGAGAGGGCGAGCTATGAGGGCGTGGCCTGGGGCTCACCACTGGCGCCCTCATGCTTGCTGGCAGACAGGAGAGTGATGGGCCTAATGGAGTCTGTCCAGAGAAATGAGATAATGGCCCAGCTCCTGCGCAGCTCAGCCTGTTCCCATAACTGCATAGTCTGGGGGCCCCTCTGCTTTTATTAGGCTAACAAGCCACGTCTGTCGGGGCCATGGTGAATGGTGCCCTCCCTCTGCTCTGACCCTGGCTTCACCAGTCTCCTGGGCTTCAAGACTTTTCCTCACTAGAGAGACACTGTCCTCTGTTTGGTGAGCCCCATTGCTGGACACGGGTCAGACCCTCCCTACAAGGGGCGGGGACACTAGGCACATGGAACCCTCCTGCCTGGCCCTGCTGGGAGAATCACAGGGTCTTTCCTGGTGCTCACCTTGGGGGGGTTCAGGCTGCACCTGCCACCATCTTCTATGGAGTTGGTCTCCACGCCTGGAGATGGCCAGAGAAGCAGAAAGCTCATCAGAGGACAGTGGCGCTCCTGTCCAAGATAAGAAATGCAGACACAGGGACTGCAGCTCAAGCAGCCATCTTGGAGCACCCCGAAGAATCACAAACAGGACATCCTGGAAACGGGGTGGAAGAGCAGTGAACAATGACCACAGCCCTGGACTCCGCCTCTCTGCGCTGTTTCTGGGAGGGGAAAAGCTTCTGTCTGTCTAAGGGACTCTGGTTCGTGGTTTCCAGTCGCTCTTGGCTGACTCCCACACTAACCCATGTGGCCCCACCAGGAGTGTTTCCTAACCCACCTGCTTGGTGCTGTCTGGAGCCAAGCAGCTTTCCTCCTAGCAGTAACCAGCCCCACACCCTTCAGGACACAAGTAAGCTGCTAGCTGAACTGGGATGTGGATTCCCAGGCCTGGACTGGGGCCTCCACTCCTGCAGTTCTGAGCCACTCCCTCAGGACGCCTGTGCTGCAGGGCGCAGCTTTCACTGGGCAGTGAGATCTCGGAACTCACCTGCCCTGTGAGGTCACGCCCAGGTTTTCTCACCCTGCCCCGCCCCTGCCCGCAGGAGCGGCCTCCGAGGAAAGCAAAGCAGCCAACAGAATTTCACAGGGACGCTCTTCAGGCCTGAGCGACAGGGTCTGTTTCTCCTGTCCTCACCTGACTCCCCCTCCCCCACCCAGCCCCGTGAGCTTCGTTCCACAGCAGGAAGTGGGGCACTGCAATATGCAGAGGCCCAGAGTGGATGCAAGCATAAGTGAATGGTTTCTGTTCATGCTCTCATTAATCTATGAAGTGTGTTTTATGAGCCACTTGTTGGGTTTCAATATTAGCTCTTGGGGCTGGTGCTGTGGTGTAGAAGGTCAAGCCTCCGCCTGCAACATCAGCATCCCATACAGGCACTGGTTTGGGTCCCGGCTGCTCCACTTTCGCTCCAGCTCCCTGCTAATGTGCTGGGAAAGCAGTAGAAGATGGCCCAAACGCTTGGGCCGCTGCACCCACCTGAGACCCAGAAGAATCTCTGGCTTCAGCCTAGCCTGGCCTGGCCCAGCCCAGCCCTGGCTATTGTAGCCATTTAGGCAGTGACCCAGCAGACAGAAGATTTCTGTCTCCTCCTCTGTATCTCTCTCAAATAAATGAGAAACTTTTTAAAAACTCAATAAACCTTAAAAAAGATGTGCTCTCTTCTGAAAGTTGATGAGTTGGACGCTGGTGACCAGGAATCCCAGTTTTACCTAAGGCAGGTAACTTCCTTCCAGACCTCGGACCTGAGTGAAATCAGGCCCCTCTCTACCTTGCGCGGTGTCCTCCTGACTCCTACACACTCTGCCAGCGGGGGTGATGAAGGCGCACACCCAGGCCAGCCGGGAAAGCCTGTCAGCCAGGTCTCTCTCTGGGGCCCCTTGGCCGACAGTCCTCAAGTGGCCGGGACATCACGGGTCCCTGTGGCGGATGCCAGGCCTTCCCTGCTCCTGTGAAGTTTTCCTGGCTCCACCACAAACAGCTCTACTCAGCATTTTTTTGAACAATGAATCAAGTGTTAGCCTTGATTCCAGGAACTAATCTATTTAAGTCTGCATTTAATTTTTCAAAAACAGTTTCTTGAGCAACTTTACCAGAAAAAAAAAAAATTAGCCAGTGAATGTTGGACTGAACTATCCAATTTTTTTTTTTTTTTGACAGGCAGAGTGGACAGTGAGAGAGAGAGACAGAGAGAAAGGTCTTCCTTTGCCGTTGGTTCACCCTCCAATGGCCGCCGCACCATGCTGATCCGATGGCAGGAGCCAGGTGCTTCTCCTGGTCTCCCATGGGGTGCAGGGCCCAAGCACTTGGGCCATCCTCCACTGCACTCCCTGGCCACAGCAGAGAGCTGGCCTGGAAGAGGGGCAACCGGGACAGAATCCAGCACCCCAACCGGGACTAGAACCTGGTGTGCCGGCGCCGCAAGGCAGAGGATTAGCCTAGTGAGCCGCGGCACCAGCTTGAACTATCCAATTTATTAATATTCCCTTCTAATTAGCAACAGTTTCCCTCAATCTATGAAGTCGCTCCTATGAGTTGAGGCAGTATCATTATTAGTATATGCATTCCCAAGTACCCAAGTATTAACAACTGTTGGAAAGATTAGATGCAATTTTTTTTTTGTAATAAAACTACATACTCATGGAGGAAAGTATGTTCATTACATAAAGCAGAGTGTGAGGGAAAGTCACCTGTGACTGCTGAGAACGGTGGGAACTCTCATGGCCTGTCGGATTACGCGTCTGCGACAGGCGATCTGTCTTCATTAAAATATGCTCAGGCTACACCTCACTGGTGACTGACTTTCCCCCAGCACTGAGGTGTAAGTGAAACCAGGCGCTGCATGTACACAAGGTGCATGACTCAATATTCTGTGCTGTGAGATGATCCCCAAAACCAAGGCAGTTAACAGATCCCTCACCTACGGCAGGTACCATTCTCTTCCCTTTCTTTTGATAACAACACCTAAGATCCACCCTCTTCGCAAGCCTCAAGTGCACAATACAGGATTGTTAACTGAAGTCACTAGGGAGGTGTCTAGAAAATGGGGAAACCACTACCACACGCCCCAGCAATCTCATTTCTGATTCTACAGCCCCAAAGAAATGGAATCCGGATCTCCAAGAGCTGTCTATTCCCACATTCGCCGCACCACACAAGGGCCAGCACTGCCATGTGCACACGGCCAGGGCCTGCTTGCTGGCCTGCAGCCCACACACCCATGTAGATGCCAGCACTCAGAGGGGAGTCACACTTGGTCGAATGCTCTACAGCCTTTCAGTATTAAATGAAGGGGGCCTCAGCACTGTGGCGTAGCAGGTAAAGCCTCCACCTGCAGTGCCAGCATCCCATATGGGCACTGGTTCAAGTCCCAGCTGCTCCACTTCTGATCCAGCTCTCTGCTATGGCCTGAGAAAGCAGTAGAGGATGGCTCAAGTCCTTGGGCCCCTACACCCACGTGGGGGACCCAGAAGAAGCACCTGGCCTCGGATTGGCGCAGCTCTGGCCATTGCAGCCAACTGGGGAGTGAATCAGCGGATGAAGACCTCTCCTTCTCTAACTCTTTCAAATAAATATTTAAAAATAAATACATAAATAAATGAAGGGGCTCTGCATTTTCACCTTGCACTGAAAGTATGTGACCATTTCCGTATGAGGGATTTTGGGTACAAGGAACAGAAACCAGTTTGAACAGCCTGGAGAACGGGACTCGCTTACTAGGCCTGGGCTGTCTACACCCTGCAGTTTCCCAGGATCTGAGAGACGCCCTCTTGAGCAAGCGTGTGCCCTGCCTGACAACGCCCAGGCCCTAGGCCACCCAGAGCCAACACCAAGGGTACGGTCTACCTTGCGTTACTGATGCAGGCCTGCACACTCAGGCCATCCTCAACCAGCAGAACTTTGAGGGACCGGGGTCCAAGAAGCTCAGGTCAACTGTATCGGAGTGCACATGTCTAATCCCAACAAAACCCTGCCACAAGCCTTGGGGACTTCCCTGGTTGCGAGAGTCCATGTTCGTCTGCCACACAGTGCTGCTGGGAGAATCCAGTCTGTCCGTGTGATTTCACTAACCAAACCCAAAAGCTTGAAAGAACTTTCTTCTAGACTGACCCATGCAGTTCTCTCTGTGATTTTAATCTGCAGGCGTTCACAGTCATAAATCCTAACAATGAGTCCTGTGAGCCCGAGTAAACCATCGTATCTGAGGTGCTTTGGGGACCTCCAACCCAGGGACTCTGTGTGTACTTCCCTGAAGCACGTGGGGGCACGCGGGGCCTCATGAAGGAGGGAGCTACACACTCACCAGGCCCCTTCCCCGTTCTCTGTCAATCTGCTGCCAAGATCCATTTTCCTGTGAGAGTCGACCTACAGAACTTGGTATTTTCCTGGCCTACCCAGCCGATGCCACTGCAGGGAGCCGAGGCAGAGCGCCATGGCTCCAGTCTAGGACTGGCGGTCAGGAACTGCGGGTTCTGTGCCTTCCACTGCAGGGACACACTCAGCACTACGACGGTCAAAGGTTAAATAAATAACTACTCTTCAGAAATTTCTAGCTGGGCATGGGACTCCTGTCACACTCAACCTAAAGACACAGAAGCTCCTGCATGGGGGACGAGGGCAGGCTGTCCCTGCTCTGATTTGAATGTGCCCCCCGCCAAGCACGTGCTGAACATTGAATTAACACTGCTGGGGGTGCGGGTAATGGGAGGCAATTAGGCCTTGTGGGTGAAGTGAATGGACGAATGCTGTCATCATGGTCTGGGCTGGCCCCCTTCTCCTGTCTCACCGTCTCTTCCCCCTTCCCCCTGTGGTTCTGATGCAGCCCTTGTCTGGCACTCTCCCAGGTTCCAGAACTTGACAAAACACATTTCTACTGTTTACTGATTGCCCAGTCTGTGGTAACCTGCGACAGCAGCACAAATGGATTGAGGCAGGTTCCTACACGAGTCCACCTGGGGGCTGGTGACAGCCCAAGTCAGCCACCTGTCCTCCACAGGGCGAGGTCTGAGCTGCAGCCCTACCCTGAGGCTATGGGGCTCCCAGGACTTGCTCGCAGATGCTCTCTGTGACAACAGTGGTGGGTCAGGGGGGTCCCCAGGCAGGCAGAACAGAGGTCTGAGGCCAAGTCCTAGCTGCACTCAGCTTCCTTACGTAGAGACGGGGGCAGGGGTCCATCTGGGAGTGGCAGAAAGCCATCGGGGGCCCTTTCACAGCCCTGCACTTTGTCTTCAAAACCTCCCGACAAAGCATCCTCACAGACCCTCGTGGCCTTTCTCAACCACAGCTGTGTCCCCCGCAGGCTCCCGTCGAGAACACTGTGGGATCTGATCACAGCCGCAGGGACCGCTGGGTGCCCCACAAAGTAAGGACCCAACTCTTCTCCCTCCCACAGGCCCAGGAGCCCATGAGCTACTCAGGTGGGATGGCTCAGTCTCTGGAGACAGACGACCGGGGCGAATGCTTGGGGACACCATGTCCACCACTGGCGAGCTGGGTGACCTCAGGGCAGACACCCGGCTCAGCCATGCACCTGCCTGGTTCAGACAGCTCAGCTCCAACAGCCCCTGCGTGGGACCTCCTCTGGAGCCTCTCAGCTCTACGTCCTCACACACGGTGCGTCTCCTGTGACATCACTAGTCCAGGCTCTACGTCCTCACACACGGTGCGTCTCCTGTGACACCACTAGTCCAGGCTCTACATTGCTGAGTCTCAGTCCTCTGCACTCCTCCTCAGGTGGGAAGCTCCTTGGGGGCCATGGCTGGTTCTATACCCTCAGTAACCCAGGGCTGGCTCGTGGTGGGAACTCAGACACTGCATGCTGAGTGACATGTGACCAAGCTCCAGCAAGGTCCCTCCTGGGCACCCAGGGTGAGCTGTACACACCATGACACAAGAAATGAGCTGGAACAACCACAGAATTATCCTCCAAGAGGATCGGTGTCCTCTTCCCTTCTAAATACATTTGTACATAATGAGCCTTTAATTAGACCAAGGCGGGAGTCTCTGCACGGAGATCATGCATGACAAATGAGGGACGGAGACGATGCTGAAAGGCTGGGTGGCTGTAACGCAAGGTAACTGCAATGCCTTTCGAAAGGAAACGCGTTTTGATCTTGAAAACTGAAATTAACTTTGATGTCTTTGGAGAGTCTTCAAGCATTTTTCGTTCACACAGAGCCTCTTTTCTTTACGCTCTACCAAGAGCACTGGGCGCAGCAGTCGGAGGCTGAGCCTGGACAGAGCTGTCAGGTGGGCTGGCAGGGGACCTCTGGAGTCTGTGTGCAAAGGGTGAGGGGTGCCGGCGCTGCAGCGGCTGAGCCATGACTGTAGGTAAGTTCAAAGGGCTTTTCACTTCTGCAGGAGCACAAGTCTAGGGCTGTGCTGTGCCCACCGGCTGCGGTCCCAGCAGGGAAGGGCCACGGCTCCTGGACTCCGGCCAGCTCGGAGCAACAGGAGGCGGCAGAGATGACAGCTCCCATCTTGGAGATAAGACACGTGGCCTGAGCTTTAAGGAGCTGGTTCTAAGGAGCCGCCTTAGTTTCAATTAAAAGCGATTGCACGCGTAGCAGGTCAGAGACTCTGTGCTTATCTGCACGGAGCCCAACAGCAGCTTGTAAGCACCTACAATTCAACGCACTCCCGCCTGACCCCGAGAGCCTTCCGGCACACCACACGCAGGAGGGAGGAGGGGCCCAGAGCAGCAGCAGCCTCACGGCACACCTCTGTGGAACAGCACCCGCACCCCGGCACGAGTGCCCCTCCTGGACCCAGGACCACCTTCCAGGGCGGCGGCCTCCCTCAGCGCCCCGGGCGCCTGCTCAAGGACTTGTGAGTGTGCAGCTTCCTGTGCGCTGTGAGAGGACAGGTCTCACTGCAGGTAGAGTCTGCGACGGCTCCCTGGACGGGAAGACCAGGGCAGCACCCGTCAGCCCCTGAGCCTCAGGGTGGCTGTGGAGGCCCCACGTCCGTCACCTCCCACCAGCTCCACTGGGAGGTTCCTGCAGCCCCTCGCAGTCCAAGGCTCGCCCCTCCCAGCTCCGCAATACCCTGGAGACGCCACGTCCGTCACCTCCCACCAGCTCCCCCGTGAGGTTCCCGCAGCCCCTCGCAGTCCGAGGCTCGCCCCTCCCAGCTCCGCAATGCCCCGGTTCATGCAGCGGCAGGTGGCAGAGCAGAGCTGCCGCCTAGCACCCCACGTGGGCACCAGCTCAAGCCCTGGCTACCGCACTTCCAGCGCAGCCGCTGCTGATGCACCTGGGAAAGCCGCGGAGGACGGCCCCAGTGCCTGGGCCCCCGCACCCACGTGGGAGACCTGGAAGAAGCTCCTGGCTCCAGATCCACCCAGCTCCAGCCTTGAGGCCATGTGGGGAGTGAACCACCGATAAAGATCTGTGTGTGTTAACCCTGGCTCCGAAATAAACAAAACCTTTAAATATAAATATATACGAGCGGCGCCTGGGCAGGCTGTGGCAGCAGGCCATAACCCAGCAAGATGTGCGAAGCCAGTCAATGAGGGAAGACTGTGTCCGCTTTTTTTCCTTTTAATCTAAGAAATAAAGGCCTCGCCGCAAAGTATTTATTGCACCCATGAGGCCAGAGACAAGCCACTGCGCAGGAAGGTCATCCGACTTCAACGTCTGGATGGGATGCGGGGCCTGGTCCAGCCCGAGCTGCGCCGGCTTCACCGAGCCCCGCTGACCGCCCATCCCCACCCCCACGTGGGCGCGACCCCGCGGACGGTTCCGTGATCCGGGGCCTGGTCCAGCCCGAGCTGCGCCGGCTTCACCGAGCCCCGCTGACCGCCCATCCCCACCCCCACGTGGGCGCGACCCCGCGGACGGTTCCATGAACCGGGGCCTGGTCCAGCCCGTCCTGACCCGGCTTCACCGAGCCCCACTGACCGCAAAGACACTTGCATCTCTAAGAAGATATTCATGAAACATAATCCAATAACATCCTGACACAGCGTTACCTGATGCCATGAGCCAAAAGCTCATGTGGTGGACATTCTGCCTTTTTCCAGCTCCTACAGGGCACTACACACTTACTTTTGAATACGGAGTGGGTTTATTTAGAGGAAGATTGGGCTAGTTTCTGCAGAACAGCTAAGGCCAGGGATTGGTGAGGCATGTACTTCCCCTCTGCCTTCCTGGTTGCTTGGTCTTAAACTAGCGCACTCCAGTCCACAAAAGACATTAGTAGAGGGGCTGGTGGGGCTGTGTATTTATTCCTCAATTTGTTCCACAGTAGATTGAAGGCAGTTTTCAAGAAATACTTGTAACATAATAGGAAGATACAAATTAGATATTTACCGACTAAGGAAAACCACAAGTCAGATGAAAGATGGAGACCAGAGGGGCAGAAGATAAAACTAAAATACAGGTTATTATATCCTCCCTTGGTTGCTATAACAAACTACCAAAGATGAGAAAACACCCCTGCTCACTAAGTCCCATCCTTATTTACATTTCTTTCCCGCCATATATGGGTTCCTGATATTCCCAACCACCCCTAGGGGGCTTTCTGGGCAGGCTATTGGGCGACCCACAACACTTAGTGGCAGGTGGCTCTAAATGAAGGAGCCCCCCTCTTGCCTTCCTGCCTATCTTGATTCACGAAGATCGCTTCCCTCTATTTTCGATGAGGGGAAGAAAAAACTG